CTTTCACAGTGGTTCAGTATACATAAATCTGTGCCATGCCTAGTTCAGGGTATAATCTGCAATTTTCTTTTTAAAGAAAAAATTTACATACAGCAGAGGGTCTTTTAAACGAATGGGATGGCAATTTGTTTGCCATCTTTTAATACATAAGTTACTTTTGAATTCATTGATCCCTTTCAGTCTGGTTATGTTTCCTGGAATTTGCTATAACTTATCAAGTTAAAATCATGGATAATTAGCCTCGTTGTCTTAAATTAGTTATAGCATATGGGCATTATTCAGTTGTAACTAATGAGCCTGCTGAAAATTTGAAGATACACTGGCCAGCCCGGATGAAGAAGGGGTCAGTAGGTTTTAAGCATGAAAACCTTATTGACCCAGATATCCCTGCAACTTGGAGAGCAATGGAATCACTCTATGATTCGGGCAAGGCTAGAGCTATTGGTGTGAGCAATTTCTCTACAAAGAAGCTGTCAGATTTGCTGGATATTGCACGTGTTCTTCCTGCAGTTGACCAAGTGGAGTGTCATCCTTCATGGCAGCAGGCCAAGCTGCGTTCTTTCTGTAAATCCAAGGGAGTTCACCTTTCGGTGAGTACGCAAATACTGAATTACATTGCCTGTGTATTGAGTAGTGACAACTCACCTGTCTGTAATTGGACGAAATTTTAATTTAAGCATGTTTATATTTTTCTTTCAGGGATATTCACCACTGGGTTCTCCTGGAACAACATGGATTAAAAGCGAAGTCCTTAAGAATCCAATTCTTCTCAGTGTTGCAGAGAAATTAGGCAAAACTCCTGCACAAGTTGCTCTTCGATGGGGACTGCAAATGGGTCATAGTGTTCTTCCTAAGAGTACTAATGAAGCAAGGATCAAGGAGAACCTTGATGTCCTTGGCTGGTCTATCCCAGAGGACTTGTTTCCCAAGTTTTCTGAAATTGAGCAGGTAAGTTTTTACTGGAATTGATCCTCTATTCTCCTTGCAATCAGTACCCTGATGTCTTTGTATGGTCAGTTGTGCCATAACACCATTAAACACATTCCAACATTATATTATTAATGTGATCGTTGTTAAAAATTTCTGGACATCACTTGTGTTCTTCCATGTATGATTCTTCAAATGGGCGTTTCTTTCTGGGCCTGGGGATTACGTCTTGAGATTTCATCGTGTTGATGATGTTGATACAAGCACTGATGTCATGCAGTCTTTTCTCCTAACTACATTGATTTCCAATTGTGCAGGCAAGGCTGATCAGAGGGGGCTCATATGTTCATGATACTTTTGGTCCCTACAGGAGCATAGAGGAGTTCTGGGATGGTGAAATCTAGAAAATCGCATGAATGTTTTTGTGGAAGAGAGTCTAGGAGCATTTGTTATGTGAAAAATTGAACTTTTATGATTTGTATGGATCGTTTATGTCCTAAAAAGCGATTTGCTTGATTATGGTACTTGCACATCTCCGTGTTTTGTTTACATAAAGAATACTACCACCTCTTACTACTGTACCCATAAATCTTTGTTTGAAATTGTTGTTCTGGTTGGCAGAGAGATTGCAAATTACGAATAAAATATGCACGTGTTTTATTTGGCAAAATTTTTGCAAGTTAAAACTGAAGAGTTCGGCCACTATATAATATTTTTATTCAATAATATGTGAAAATTATGTGTATAATACGTGAATGTTGTCTGTATTAATGACAATTGTAAAAAACACATGTATTAAACATGAAAAATATATAAGTATTGTACGTTAGTTTTTTTTTTTTTTTTTTAAATGTATGTTATCGAGTCTTTAACATGTTACATGTATATGGAAAACGGAAGTATTATTAAAAAATATATATATATATATAATACAAGTATTAAATGGGAGAAATGAAAAATTCTTTACACGGGTAATAACTCTGGAAAAGTAAAAAAGCAAAAGGGAACAATAGAGACTTTGGCCTAATAGTAATGGATAATGCTCTAAACTATACTTATCCATAAACAAAAATAAGGGAAATTTTAAATAAATAAAAAAAACAAAGGACCCTAGTGTAGTTAAAGAGTATATTAGGCTATTACCCGAGTCTATTGTTACCTTTTAAAAGAAATAGTATAGCCGCGCAGCTATACTCGGTTTTTCTTTTTTTTAATAAAAGAAACGGCTATACTCGGTTTTTTCTAATTTTTTGAAAAGAAATCGTATGGCCGTGCGGCTGTACTCGGTTTTTTACAATTTTTTTGAAGAAATCGTATCGCAGCACGGCTATATTATGGTTTTAAATTTTTTAAAAAGAAATAGTATAGCCACGAGACTATACTCGGTTTCTTTCCTAATTTTTCAAAAATAAATAGTATATTTGCGCAGCGATACTAGGTTTTTTTAACTTTTTAAAAATAGTATAGCCTACTTGGTTTTTAAATTTTTGGATTCGTCGTAACAATGGTCCCTCAACTATACCCCAAATTACACTTTGGTCACTCAATTCAAATATTAGTTGCAGAGGTCACTCAATTAGGTGTTTTGTTGCACCGTTAGTCCTGCCGTCAAGTCTCTCTAATGGTAGGGACTAATGGTGCAACACAACACCTACTTGAGTGACCAAAATGTAACTCCGAGTATAGTTGAGGGATCATTGCTACAAATAATCTTAATTGAAAAGTCACATTTGCCCATCAATAATCTAAGAGATGCTTGTCTAGTCTTCATTTTAAACATAAAAAGTAACAAACTTGACGGTAGGACTAACGGTGCAACATAACACTTAATTAAGTGACCTCTGCAACTAATATTTGAGTTGAGTGACCAAAGTGTAACTTGGGGTATAATTGAGGGACCATTGCTGCGAATAACCCTAAATTTTTTAAAAGAAATAGTATAGCCGCCCGGCTATCCTTGGTTTATTCCAAGCTAGAGATAGTATAGCCGTGCGGCTATAATTCTTCAAAAAAACATTTTAACGAAATATTATAGCCGCCCGGCTATACCCGTTCTTTTTTATATTTTCACACAGAATTCGTATAGCCGCACGGCTATACTCGGTTTTTTAATTTTGGATTATTCTCAGCAATGGTCCCTCAACTATACCCCAAGTTACACTTTGGTCGCTCAACTCAAATATTAGTTGCAGAATTCACTCAATTAGGTGTTTTGTTGCACCGTTAATCCTACCATCAAGTCTCTCTAACGGTAGGGACTAATGGTGCAACATAACACTTAATTGAGTGACCAAAATGTAACTCCGAGTATAGTTGAGGGATCATTGCTACAAATAATCTTAATTGAAAAGTCACATTTGCCCATCAATAATCTAAGAGATGCTCGTCACGTCATCATTTTAAACAGAAAAAGTAACAGAGTTGACGGTATGACTAACGGTGCAACAAAACACCTAATTGAGTGACCTCTGCAACTAATATTTGAGTTGAGTGACTAAAGTGTAACTTGGGGTATAGTTGAGGAACCATTGCTGCGAATAACCCTTTAATTTTTTTTTAAAGAAATAGTATAGCCGTCCGGCCTTTCTAGGTTTTCCCAAATTTTTTAAAAGAAATATTATAGCCCAGCGGCTATACCCGGTTTCGTTCCCTTTTTTTAAAAGAAGGGTTATTCGTAGCAATGGTCCCTCAACTATACCCGTAGTTACACTTTGGTCCATCAATTCAATTATTAGTTGCGGGGGTCACTCAACTAGGTGCTATGTTGCACCAGTAGTCCCTCCGTCAAACTCTGTTAAATTTTCTGTCAAAACTGAGGGTAAGTTTGGAAATTCATCCACAACCCCTCCCTCTCCTCCACAACAATCCCTTTCTCTCTCTCTTTCTCTCTCTGAGCGAACTTAAAATTTGCAGCCCCATTGGTGTAGAACAAAAGAAACCCTCTGCACGCCTAGCGGCTAGGCGGGCTAAATTCACGATTAGCAGCTGTGGAAGCAACTGTGTGAGCCCACCATCTGAGATTGTCTTTCATGTCAATTTCATTGCCCAACGCAGGAAACCTCCAATTCATCAATGGCTTCTCTCTCTTTCTTTGATCCCTCACCTTCCAAGCTTCAGAAAGGTAAGACCTTGGAATTGTAGACTCGTCAAAGACCTCATCTTGGCCGTCCTTCTTCCCCAATCTTTGTTGCCCAGGAATGATCGAAGCCAAGTTTGAATCTTCTTTGTCTTCCTCTAAGAAAACAAAACCAAGATCCATAAACCCATTTAGCTCTTCAAATTCAAGGTCTGTCAAGCTCTTGCTCTCACCCTTCTTCTTCTTCCTCCTCCGTCTCGTAATCTTCTTTGGCGACTCTTCGACATGTCTCTGTATTGGGGTTTCAACTTCTGTGGCTTCCTTGCCAGAGAGAATGGTGAAGAGCTTTGGTCTGTGGAGGACTGAGTCTGGTGAGGGAGTGGAGCTGAAGTTGAAGCTTGTTTTGGAGCTCAATTTGTCGCTCATGGACCTGGTACGGAGGAGGGTCGGGATGCGTAAAATCTCTGGTTTTGATGGTTCTTCTTCAATTTCAAGAACCGGGTCTGCTTCAATCCTTGATGGGTTTGATGAATTTGGTTGCTTTTCGAAGATTCCGAGCTGAAACCAGTAAGAATCATATAGCTCCATTACTTCGTCTGCTTCCATCAATGGCGTCGTGGCGGCTAAAGAAACCGAGAACAATTTTCATTTGCGTTTGTGGTGCAATTATTTGCCGTGGATGGCTTTATAGATGCTTACACCTTCCTAAAAACGAATAGAAAAATCAAAATATAAAAACAGAGAAATTGATGGATGTTTATGGTTGATGGTTTACAGTGAGTGCTGGGTTGGGGTGGGAGGAAGGATTGGGTGGCGAGTTTGGTACAAGGGAGGAGAAGCAATTGAGTTGTCTTTCTCTTTTCTTTTTTCTGCCCAGATTTTGGTACAAGAAAATATTATCGCTATGCTTTAAATAATATAATAAATTAAAGGAGTACAGCCGCACGGCTAGACTATTTATTTATAATAAAAAAAGGAACCGCCGTTTTTCATTGCTGCCTGCCTCACTCTGTCTACTTCTTCACCCTCGCTCTGAGAGATTGATAATGGCGGACGATACTCGTTCGTTTGAGTTGAACACCGGAGCCAGGATCCCTTCGTTAGGGTTAGGGACCTGGCAATCAAGCCCTGGCCTTGTCGGCGACGCCGTCGCCACCGCTGTTAAGGTCTTCATCGTTGATCACTCCCCGCTTCGAATTTTGTGTAATCTGTACCGTTGATTTGGTAGACTTAGCTTCTAACACTCAGCTGAAAAGTGGGGTTCTACTAATTGCAGGGAGGATATCCCCATATTGATTGTGCTCAACGCTATGGCAATGAGAAGGAGGTAATTGCAGTTGCCTTTTGCTAAATTATTAAATAAATTTGAAGTTTTATATCATTTCCCTTCATTAAAGTTGAAGTTTTAATTTTGCTTTTACCCTTTTATTTTACAATACTTGTTTGAAAAAGAAAATAATTTTTGTGTTTGGCTCATTTGTTTTAAGATGCCAAGTAGTTACTACGATTTAAATGTGACAAAGATTTGGTTTTTATTTCTTGTAGATTGGTTTGGTTCTGAAGAAGCTGTTTGAAGACGGTGTGGTGAAGCGCGAGGATTTGTGGATCACCTCCAAACTCTGGTTTGTTTCAATTTCAATGAGGCAATACAATGAGTTATAATTGATCATGCCAAAGTGATGGTGCCGTGAGCCTTGTCCTGTTATGCTTTGGCCTTAAATATTTTAGCTTAGAGTCTTCTACATTTTGTTCTTTCTAAAAGCAAGCTGGTTCGCAGGTGTACCGATCATGCGCCAGAAGATGTGTTAGAGGCATTGGACAGGACTTTGCGAGACTTGCAGCTTGATTATGTTGACTTGTATCTTGTAAGTATTACCTGTTCAAAGCTCATTCTCCAGTTATGCTTGTTAGAATTTGGTGCAAGAGAGTACGAAATACCAGAGCTTTCAAAGGGGATCATTATAAATAAAGTAGTGATTGCCTAGTTGAAGGTGAAATCTGCACTTTTTTTCAGAAGTTCACTAAAATGGAGTCCTTTAGAAGACTGGAATTACATTCTTTTTGCCATCTTTGTGCTTGTTGATAGGAATTACTTCCAAAATTCCCGATCCCTTTAAGTCTGGCTATGTTGCCTTCATCTAGCTATTAAGGTCCGAATTGTGGGTAATTAGCATCATCGTCTTGAATTTGTTAATACCATTTTGTTGGGGTAATTACTCAGCTATAACTAATGACCTATTGAAAATTTGAAGATGCACTGGCCAGTTCGTTTGAAAAAGGGGTCAGTAAGTTTTGCTCCTGAAAACCTTGTTGAACCAGATATCCCTTGCAGTTGGAGAGCAATGGAAACTCTCTATGATTCGGGTAAGGCTCGAGCTATTGGTGTGAGCAATTTTTCAACAAAGAAGCTCTCTGACTTGCTGGACGTGGCACGTGTTCCTCCTGCTGTTGTCCAAGTGGAATGTCATCCTTCATGGCAGCAAGCCAAGCTGCATTCTTTCTGCAAATCCAAGGGAGTTCACGTTTCAGTGAGTATGCAAATATTGAATTACATTTCCTACATCGATTTTCTTATTTGGTTGAAATAGTTGTGTATAACTGGGCAAGAATTTACTTTCCTTAGCAGCTGAGATAGCTAGAAATTAAATAATTGCTATGTATTTTTCTTTTAGGGCTATTCACCACTGGGTTCTCCTGGCACAACATGGATCAAAGGTGATGTCCTTCAGAATCCGATTCTTCACATGGTCGCAGAGAAACTAAAGAAAACTCCTGCACAAGTTGCTCTTCGATGGGGACTGCAAATGGGTCATAGTGCTCTTCCTAAGAGTACTAATGAAGCAAGGATCAAGGAGAACTCTGACGTCTTTGGCTGGTCTATCCCGGAGGACTTGTTAGCTAAGCTTTCGGAGATTGAGCAGGCAAGTGGTTACTGATGTTCCTTTATTCCCCTTGCCAAGATCTTATTATCGTCAGCTGTCAAAATCTTGAAACACAGTCCACTATTATTACATGTGAATGCTGCTAAAACTTTCTAGAATCACTTAAGAGGTGTTCTTCCTTGGGATGAATCTTCAAGCTGGGGTTCTCTTGGGGAGGTTTTGGGATTAGGTCCAGTGATTTTGTTACAAGAACTTGTCTTTTTTGTGTTTACTCCTAACCTACTGCATTGGTTTTCAACTGTGCAGGCAAGACTGGTCAGAGGGACGAACTTTGTTCATGATACTTTTGGTCCCTACAGGAGTGTTGAGGAGTTGTGGGATGGTGAAATTTAGAGTCAGATGAGTGCTTCTATGGAAGAAATTTGGAGCATTTTTTTCTTTTTTCTATTTTTAAAAATAGTGAGATTGGATATTTATGGTTTGCATGATCATCATGACCCAGATATTTTGGTATTGTCTAACGTTTTGCTTCAGTTATCGAACTCTGGCGGGTGCAACCCATATCGCCTTAGCCGACTGTCCTAACCCACATATGCATTGGGTCACCTTGTTTATAAGAAATAAAATCAGACAGATCAGCCCATTATCTACATTTTCCCAATTTCCTTAAACCTTAATCCTTTTTGGTTTTCTGCGAGCCTCTAGTTTCTTCTTCTAAATTTCTTCCTTTAGATAGATTTGTACAAATTAATATTTTTATCAAAAGCAGTTATTTTATGGAGAATAATTTTAAGCTCATTTGGGCTCTTTGTACAACCTCAAGCCTCCTCCACCCAGTTGGGCCCATTTCTAACTCGCGCCGTGGTTGCTACGCCATAGCCCAACAATACACTGCAATTTCCCTCCCTAAAACCCCTAGCAAAGCACAAAACCCTGTTGCAGTTGCAAAACCCTAAACCCTTCCTCAGCCATAGCCGGACCTCAAATGGCTCTGTTCTCGATGCTTCGCAGGCCGACCTACTCTGCACTGGCTCTCGCCGCACGCGCTGTCGGATCAGCAAGGACCTTTCACCGCGCAATCTCCACCGTCCCTACTTTCAGCGGTGATCACAGCCCGAGAAGCTCTTTTCCAACTCGGCGATTCTCTACGGCCACCGCCACCGCCTCTGAACTGATCGGCAATGAAAGCCTGATCGGAGGCCTGGAGTCTGAGATCAAGTGTGCCCAAGAGCGTAAAATCAAAATTCCCGTCAGTATCTAATTCTAGTTTCCATTTCTTTTTCTCCCAGAATTCTTTGCTTAATACTTAATGCTGTTCTTTACTGTAAATTTGCATGCTTTTTTCATTTTTAATCGGTTGTTCAATGAAACAAGTTTGACCCATTTAGTAATTCAGTAGTTGATAATTTGGGTTTTGTTTGATTTCACACTTTAGGAGGTCCCAGATGAGTTTCCTTTTGAAATAATAGACATTCCTGGAGAAAAAACTATTCTACTGAAAAGACAATTCCAATGCGAAACCATCCAAGTGGTTGTTGATGCTCCTCATGTTTTTCCTGCGGACGAAGACAGCGACGAGTACGAGAATGACGACCCTGGCATTCCAATGGTTGTGAGTATTTCCAAAGAAAATGGGATGCAATTGGAGTTTGGTGTCACTGGTTTCGAAGAAGAGGTTTCGATTGATAGCTTGTCGATCGTCCATCCCGATCATTCTCCAGAACAGTTTCCGTATGATGGGCCTGAATTTCAGTAAGCTTGTCTTAATGAACCGTACTTTTGTTTTCATCTCTTATATATTAGTTCTGTTTGTTTTCTGATGTGATTTGGTTTTCAACAGTGAGTTGGATGAGTGCTTGCAGAATGCTTTTTACAAGTATCTCGAGGCTCGAGGGATCCAGTTCAGCATGACTATCTTCTTGACTGATTACATGAGGAAGAAAGACAACAAAGAGTACCTGCTTTGGTTGAAGAACCTCAAGGGTTATATTGAGCAGTGAGCAAAACACAGCTGTTTTCAATGGTGGGGGAAGGATAGTGAGGTTGTGCCTCCTTTTGACCATTCGTTGTCTGGAGCTGTATTAGTTTGAGAACAACATATTATTTATACTAGCAGTAAAATAACCAGTTTAGGTATAGTAAATTGGAACCATGAAGCATTGTAAGACAATGCTTAATTATTTTGAGATCCCTGTTAGGGCCTAAATAGTTTAGAACTAGTTCAAATATTGTCTTCTAATGATTAATCAGTGTGGTGGGTTTTTCCCCCCTTTTTAAGAATATTAACGCTACAGTTCCATTTCTTGGTAAGATATGATTTGGAATCTTCGTGAATTCATCGATCGAATTGATCGAACACTACAATTCTATTTCTATTCCTGATGCCTGATGGAATTGAATCCCATTTCTTTGTTGGTCTTCCCATGAAGATATTTGGAGGTAGTGCTATTTGGCAGGTTGAATTTGTACTTGTAAGCAAGCCTCACTTGAAATATAAGAAAAATGAGAAGAAGAAAAAATGAACCTCAATTGAAATAGTTCAAATAATCTGGCAGTCATGGGCATGGCCTAACGTATAGAATGTGAACCTCCTCCTTGACATGCTGGGCACAGCAGGTTGCATGAGTTCTTAACACTAAATCATCTGAGTGTTGGTCCTCCTGAGGTACCAAATACCAATGCACCACATCCACATGCCGCTTTGTAGTTTGCTGACAATGCAACGTGCATTTTTCTTCTTGTAATTTGATCTTCTTCTTTTTTTTTTAATAATAATAATTTTGTGGTTTGGGAGTAGTGGAAGATCCAACTTTTCTGCCGTGAAAGTCTGGCTTAACACATATAGCTCATGAATCAAGTTCCGAGAAAATTTTGGACATCGAAAAACTGGTAAGCCAATGAATTAATAATACATTGCTGAACTGCATCCAACAAACTCTTTGCATCTCTGACGTTTTTCCCCAACATTTCATCCAAATAGGTAATATCTTCTTCAGTTCATCAACCATCTAGAATCTGAAATTCATATTCAGTCAATTCACTGAATTTAAATGTACAGGTTACAATGGTATACTGCTTTTTTTTTTTCTTCTAATGAAACAAGCTAATCTGCTGCTTCATCTTGTTTCGGTTGACGCGAACCCTATCAGTTCGTAGAATATGCATAACGAAAAAAACCCTGGAACCTTACATTTTGATCTAAACACGGGAGCTAAGATTCCATCTGTTGGCCTTGGAACATGGAAGGCTGGACCGGGTGTGGTCGGCCAAGCTGTCACCGCTGCTGTCAAGGTTCATTTTCTCAATGTCTAGTTTTGGTTCTTTTAAAGCCTCCTGTTTTGGGGAAGAAAAAAATTATGCTCAAAATATTGTTCATGGTTATGCAGAATGGCTACAGGCATATTGACTGTGCATCAATCTACGGAAACGAAAAAGAGGTAATATACTATCATTTTTTGTGCGTGTGTGTGTATATTTTTAATTCCTCTTTACCATGCTCATGATGCAGGTAGGGGTGGCATTGAAAGAGTTATTTTCCACTGGGGTGGTGCAGCGTAGTGAACTCTTTATCACATCAAAGCTGTGGTATGTGTTCATTCTCTTTTCTTTTTTTTTTCAAATTGAGTCTCATGTTGCTGAACAACTAAGAAACTGATAGAATTTGATCTGAGCTTAGAGACGAGGTTTGGCTGAGCAGTGTGTCCTTAGAAGATTATGTTGCTTCTTTCTTCCGACTATTTGTGGCATTCTACAGGTGCAGCGACCATGCCCCTGCGGATGTCTCCAAGGCACTGAGCAAGACCTTAGAAGACCTGCAGCTTGACTACATTGATCTATATCTTGTATGCATCTAGTTCTTTCATAAGCAAAGCTTGAGGTTTTGTTAGACTAAGATTTTTTCTGCCTGCATCCGGAACTGTAATATAATGAAGAAATTGGAATGGTTTTGGGAAACGACCTTGTACAGATACACTGGCCACTTCGTACAAAGCCAGGCTCAGAGGGTTTGGCTCCGGAAAACATGGCTCCATTGTGCCTTTCAGAGACATGGAATGCAATGGAGGGCCTGTATGCATCTGGTCAGGCACGCGCGATCGGGGTGAGCAACTTCTCGTCTAAGAAGCTGCAAGACCTCCTTGCTTATGCAAAAGTTCCACCTGCAGTAAACCAAGTGGAGTGCCACCCTGTGTGGCAACAACCTGCTCTTCACAATTTGTGCAAATCTGCTGGTGTTCATCTATCGGTAACCTCGAACTTCAACAACTTTAATCTTCAGGGGCACTAAGGCTATATAGCTTGAGCTTGTTTATATCATTTAATAGCAAACTCTTTCCTTTCAGGCATATTCTCCTCTGGGTTCTCCAGGTTCGTGGGTGAAGGGGGAGGTCCTGAAGGAACCAATATTGAATGAAATCGCTGAAAAACTTAAGAAGTCGCCTGCGCAAGTATGTCTTCGTTGGGGTATTCAGAGTGGACAAAGTGTCCTTCCAAAGAGCGTAAATGAAAATAGGATCAAGGAAAATCTTAGTTTATTTGACTGGTCTATTCCCCCAGACCTCTTCTCAAAAATTTCAGGCATCCACCAGGTATGTTATAATACATGCCTGAAAAAACATATTTACAATCACACATATTATCGCATAAAAATTGTTTACTGACATTTACTTGCTTCTCTGTTATGCAGCAAAGGCTCCTCCGGGGTGATTTTGCAATCCACGAGACAGCTAGTCCTTATAAAAGCCTTCAAGAACTGTGGGATGGTGAAATATGAGACGATGATCAAGCCCTCTTTTATTCAATTTGATTCAGAGAAGTTTGTCGATTTTCATGCGTTCTCTGCCACATTTTAGAGGGAAGAAATTGTATTCTTGTGTTTTTAGCTTTCTTAAATAGTATGAATGAACCTTGTAAGATAACTGTCTGCTTTTATAATTCAAATCATTCACATCATATTCCCACACTCTCCTATACTATGGAAACCTTTGGCTGATAACTAGTTTTTCCACATTTAGTCCGATGCAATTACATGCACCTCAATTATGTCAAAAACATTGAGCAACCTGAGCTCCAATTATTCTACTTGAACTCTCATTCAGTCATTTGTCCAATGTATGAATTTTTATGAAACATATCATCTCGAGTGGGACTTGAAATGACAGATTGAGAAAGTTATTCTACTTGAACTGTCTCATTCAGTCATTTGTCCAATGTATGAATTTTTATGAAACATATCATCTCGAGTGGGACTTGAAATGACAGATTGAGAAAAGCTTAAAATGTTATTTGTTAGGGCAGCCGAAAACACTAAATGTGTAAGTTGTTAGTCAATGGCTCCTCCTACATGTGGAGAGGCAAAAAATTGCTGACAGAGAGCTATATAACAAGCTAACAAAACCCACAATTTTATTTTTTTTAGTTAGTAATTTAATTCAGAATGCCCTGAAGTTAAACCCTTTCTTAGTCTTAGATCAGACAAACACGAAAGAAAGAGATAAATGACTAGTGGGAGGTCGAGAGAAACAGTCACATTAATTCTATACATCTCTTAATTTGAATTTTTTTTTTAACCCTTGATTTCTTAAAACTTAAATGTCTTTTCTCTTTTCTTTTCTTTTCTTTCTTTTGTTCTTTATGCATGAATTTGATCAATACACTCAGCATTTAGAAAGTTCAAAATTTCTCGTTATGCTCTTGTGTGTACTACTGATCAAAGAACCACTATCTGAGGTGGTTGGCCAAGCAAGCACAGTACAGAATACAGATGCCGGTGTCGTACTTTGGACTGTTCATTTCATGCCTGCTTGCTGAATGTATGTCCTGGCATGCCGAGAAGGTGACAATTGACAATCAGGGTGATTAAAGGCAGAAAACACAAAAAGATTTTAGAAAGCTCATTCATAATTAAGGTGATGATTACATGAAGCCCCTTTAAATCATCCAGGTGATCAAAATCTGGCAAGGGGATAAAGGTTCATTTGTATGACAACACAATACATAGAATATTCCGTGGAGCAGTCGAACTCCTACACTATAATTGAACGTGAAATAGAAACTAAGGCTAACACATGACAGAGGTTAACATTTGTAAGTTGTGTGCTACAAAGCTTTTCCCCTCTATAATTGGGAGTTTAGGTACTTGTAAGCAGGTCCTTGTGGGTGTACTTGACCCCTCTATCGCTGTCTACAACCTGCCCATTCCCTCTCAGAATCCTGCATTTTGTTGCACAAAGGAAGCATGATCATGCACCAAAAAATTGAAGTGAAAAAACTCTAATATCAGCAACACCAGTCAGTTAACTAGCAATAAACAAGCTTCAAGAGAACAGTAATGCAGAATTGCCGTACCATCTTGCTGTTAGCAATCCTTCAACTCCTACAGGACCTCGAGCATGAATCCTGCTCGTACTTATCCCAACCTGTCAAACCAACGAACCAGTGAGAAATGAGGGGGAAAATAAAATGTTGGAATCAATGCCAGAACTATTCAGAGTCGACTTACCTCTGCACCAAGTCCAAAGCGTGCACCATCACAAAATCGTGTACTTGCATTATGAAAGATTGCAGCGCTGTCGAGGTAAATAGTATAGACATCAAGATGTGCAACATTCAGAAATTATCAGTAAACTCATTAACTTACGTGCCTTGATTATTAGAAAAATATCTTTTTAGGGGATGATTGATATGTTTTTGAATAATCAAAAGGGCAATTTGTTCTGAATTTATATACTACTTCAGTGGAAGGCAGAGTAGATGTTAGTTAATACTAATAGTTATGTGACGTTTAAGCCAATTTGTTTTCCATCTCTGGAACATTAATTGTCATCAGCCAAACCCAAACCCATATTTAAAGCCAAAATTGCTATGACATTGCTCTCAAAAAGGTGGATGCAATGATATTTCTTTCCCGAGAGAAAATATGGCTTCAGCAGCAAATGATACTTCTTGTACTGTTAGCACTTTGCATGCATGAAACATGCTTACCTGTCCACTTGACTTAGGAAAGTTTCAGCAACTTCATGATCTTCTGTAACAATGCAATCAGTATGAGCACTGCAAAAGGGATTTGGGGAGGAGAGGAGAGGCAAGAAAGTTAGAGAAATCGCCAGAAAATAATCAATACAGAAACTATACGGGAAAAAAGAAAATATAAAATATAGGAAACACATATACCTTCCATGTTCATGGATGTGGTTAATCGCAGCAGTCACATCATCAACGATTTCAACTGAGCAAGCCAATGAACTGTACTCATGATGGAATGAGCTTGTCTCTGGAATATTTAACACAGTTGATGCCTTTGGTCCACCATATAACGTAACACCTGCAACCAAGGTGGCATCATGAATCCTGGTTTCTTGTACTAATTACATACCAAAAGAGAATCAAGTTGTGAGAACTAAACTTCGAACACGAATTACTATATGACTCATTTTATATATTTCGCAACACCTTGTTGAGAGATAAGGCATTAACACAGGGTCGTACCTAAACCTTGGAGTCCTGAAATTATCTGCTTAAACCCACCATCATCAGTCACCAAGTCCTTGTGTACAAGAAGTGTTTCCTGAGAAAAAGGGTGTTATGTCAAGACAGGTCAGATTTATGAAATATAATCCCGTGGTAGTTAAATAGACATGAATGGTCAGTCATAATAGCAGAAAGTGAAATTACCATCGCATTACAGGCAGCTGGATAATCCGTTTTCGCGTCCAAAACAATGCGCTTTGCCATGTCCTTATTAGCTGACTTGTCAATATAAACATGACAAATTCCATCTGTGCATCAAAAGCAGCAAATTTACTAGAAACTCTAGTTTGCAGTGGTAGAATATACATTTCCCACATTAATGCTCTTACCGGCATGACCAAGAACTGGTATCTTAGTGGACTCCTTAATTTGAGAAACGAGCTTATTGCTGCCTCTAGGAATGACAAGATCTATCACATCATCCAGCTGCAACAGAACAACTTCGTTAATATTCATCATATCAAAAAACCATAAACAGTTTTAAATTTCTGTGCGCACCTTGAGCAGATCGGGAATCTCGTCTCTTGTATTCACAAGTCCAATAAGTTTGCCACCAACATTTTCTGGGATTGCTGAGGTGATGACCTGCAAAAAGAAGAAAATAGTTAAGCTCACAGAACAAGAGCGCAAATTAGAAACACATAAAAATAGGGAAAGCAACACTCAGGATTTTATTTTATTTTTTGGCATAATAATAGAAGGCCAGAATCTAGAGTCTCAAACCTTGTGCAAGATTGCATTCGATCGCTTGGCCTCTTTCCCCCCTTTAAGCAGAAGACCGTTCCGACTTTGAATTGCTAACGAAGCTATCTATTGAATCATTTGAAAAATACTGGTCAACTGAGAAATTACCATGGGAGCACCAAAAAAAAAATCTAAACATAAGTTTGAAGGGCCATAGATTGCAAGACAAGTGAAGCTAAAAAGGAAACATGCATATACAAAGTGTTTTCTTTAATGGAAAAGGAAGTCAATACCCAAAACAAGACCGTAAAACTGCAAATTCTAATTCGGTGTTTACTTAATGGATCAGGAAAATATGTAAAATCATTTTGCTAATCATTAATGAGCAGAATGTTTAAAGATGCAGGAGTATATAATACAATGGATATTTATGTATACCTGAACAAGGGCATCAGGTCGAGACTCAAAAACAACTAAAAGAACACCCAAAGGACAGGACACTTTCTCTAAGACAAGTCCTTCTGCAAGCTGCATGGAAGAGCAGTTATGAAAAGTGTCAGGAATGAATCCCAAGGCAAAAATCGGATATTAGCAGCACTGCAAGATACTTCAAATGGGTGAAGAAAAAAAAGTTTCGTGCCCATCTTTCACACATTAAAATTCTCAACGGGTATCATAATGTATTCATTAATACTGAATCAGAAGAACTAGAAAGGTGTCCTGACCTCTGTTTTCTGTAGAACACGGCCAATGGGCTCTTCCATGTCTGCAAGCTTACGTATAGACGTTGCAAGAGCAGCAATCTGTATGTAGACACACATTAAATAAAAAATAAGGAGGTGTTCATCCAATACCAAGTGATACAGGCTTTAATTTCAACTACGCAAGTAGCAAAGTGCATGCCTTCCCAGGCTTTAGGGCCAAACGAGATATTAGGGCCTTTTCATATCCATTCTCCTGTGCAACAGCAATATCAGCTTCATTCTCAGCTATAATCTGACCTTCATTTGCCACCAAGGCATCAGCTACGTCAAGCAAAATTTTCCTCCTATCTTTAGATCCTAGAGCCTGCAATGAAAATAATTCCACACATCATCATAAATCTCTCTACTTACCACTTGCTCTATATCCAATAAATTAAACAAACCAGAGAACACAGAAGCTCTGGAGGATTACTTTAATCTCTAGCATAAATTATACCAATAGTAGCAACCTCAAGCTTCACAATTGATAAAAGAAAAGTAAAATATGAAGTTCATTACTCGAAGCTGTCTAGAAGATTCCCGCGCTGAAACAGCCAAATCACGTGCACCTTCTTCTTTAACAAGAGTCCACAAATGTGCATCTTGATGAAAGACAGTACCTATCCGGTCTCCACGAAGCACTTTTTTTATGTTGTCTGTGGCATAGCCACTATAATGAAATAGGAAACCAGTTCAGTAAGCAAGAAACTATTTTTAGTAAACTAACAAACTTTCTATAATATAATATAAGAAAGAAAAACCCTGTAACAGTTGATATATGCTCTTTATAATCCTATAAAATTCTTAGGTCAATGTGTTTATGTACATATGTATGAGAAATGGACGAGATCAGAAATTCCAATGAATTATGCCAGGAAATTGCAGGTTGTACAACAAAGAAATATCCTCTTAAATCCAAACTCTTTGTTGTGTATCAAAATAAGCACATGATGACAGACTTTACCTAGTGATAACAACAGGGATTCCACCATAAGCTGCACAAACAGCAGCGTTGACTTTAGCTGTCATACCCCCTCTGCCGACCCTTGACTTGTCTCCAAATGTTATTTCTCCATGATGTATTTCTTTGACGTATGTATGGATTAACTTTGATTTTGGGTCAGTCGGGGGACCATCATAGAGGCCCTCTACATCGCTTAGTAAAACAAGAAGGTCAGCTTTTAGTTCAAGAGCCAATAGACCTGCCAAACTGTCATTGTCCCAAAATATACCAGAAGAATCCTGCAAACAGAACTTCCAATCAGAAGCAACGGATATATATTGAACACAGGAAAATTAAGTACCCGTCTGGTAACATTTTCTATTTTTTATTTTCAGTTTTTTGTTTGAATTTAAAGAGATAGAGGGAAAATGTATATCACAGAACTGGGGGGGAGATGAGAGATGAAAGAGGTGAGGAAGAAATGAAGGAGAGTGTATAAAACTCTATGTTCAGAAAGAAAAGGAAAAAAGAACTATTCAAATTATTTTATCTACTTGTAGTGTTTATTTTATGCACCATTCTACACATACACCATCTCCTATTTCCCTCACATATATCCTCCCTCTTTTCACTATCCTCTCATTTTGTCTTCTCTATCTTTAATTAAAAACAGAAAACCAAAAACAAAAAACAAAAATCTTACCAAACGGGCCCTAAGCAGTTGATGAGATTTGTTTAGTGCTACCCCAAACAAAACGCATATCAACACAAATTTCAAATGAAAAAGTATAGGAACAAGCAGAGTTGCATACCTCATATGGAGCTTTCCTAGTACTAACAGCATCATTTTCATTGAATATAGGAACAACCCTCAGCTTCAACAATGACTTCACAGTTTCAGAAAGTTGCTTTCTGAAAGCTTCATCCCGAAAAACACTATCCGTCACCAGAAGTTGAGAAGAAGTCACATCAAGCTGCATGTTAAAGATTGCCAAATTAACATTTGCCGACGACAAAAAGTAACTGATAGAGTACTTGCAAAAGCAATAGACATACTAAAAACTGTTTAATTGATGGAGTCATCTAAATAAGACTGCAAGAAGATTATTGTCTTGCCTGGCTGAACATGGTATCATAAAGAGCCATGAGACTGCTCTGTCCGACAGCTGCACAAGCCTTTCCATCGAAGTCATTTTGTGGATTTTGGAGATCAGCGAAGCTGCGAAACAAGTATAAACTTCTTTCAGGAACTTTTATTTGGTCACTTTGATGCCGAAATAAGCACACACAACAGATAATTATTTTATGTCATTGTAAAAGAAAACAATATAAACCTGCTGTTTGCCAATCTCCTGTATCTTAGCCTTTGACGGCCAAGACCAACAGCTCCTGAAGTCACCAGAATAACCTCATAGCCCTGAGAGTTTATATCTTTGAGCTGCATGTATTTCATTCAAAATATTAGAAAGAACAATCAAATCATAGCAAAACTTGCCATATTAAAACTTAACAAAAGGGAAAATTATCCTCCTAGTTTTACAACCAATTATATACCTGCTCACAAAGAGCACCTAGTCTGCCCAAAGCTAATCTTCCATCACCACGAGTGAGCCAATGAAAGAATCAAAACTCGACTGAAACTATCCCATATATAAATTATAAACTCTGGCAGGAGAAAAAAAGAAGAAAAAACAACACAATTTAAATATGAAGAAAAAAAGGAATTATAAATCTTTGGGAGACAGAGAAGGAAAAAAACAAACAAAGAGAAAGAGAGAGTAGAAGTGCAAAAATAAAAAATATCGACTGGCGAGTGAAGTCTCGTACACCAATGAAAGAATCGAAACTCGACTGAAACTATCCCATATATAAATTATAAACTCTGGCAGGAGAAAAAAAAAGAAGAAAAAACAACACAACTTAAATATGAAGAAAAAAAAAGGAATTATAAATCTTTGGGAGACAGAGAAGGAAAAAACAAAGAAAGAGAAAGAGAGAGTGAAAGTGCAAAAATAAAAAATATCGACTGGCGAGTGAAGTCTCGTACGGAAAAACGAGGACGCTGCGCCACGTAGCGTGGGATGCCTGGGGACGAACTTCTTTTACGCTGTGGGGTGAGTGGTGGTGGTGTACGTATCTGAGAGTCACGTGAAGGGTGAAGAAAGAAAGAAAGGAAACTAAAGAACGACTGGACGTCGTTTACGTGAAAGAAGTAAAGAACATCATCAACTCTGTTTTTCTACTAGTATTGTATGGTGTATATACAATTGACATTTAATTAATTTTTTTTTGTTTTTTTTTATATACCAATAATAGTTTAATATAAATAAGTTCATTTGATGATGACAAAAAACAAGACAATGGGACATTCCCATGAACGACTGGACGTCGTTTACGTGAAAGAAGTAAAGAACATCATCAACTCTGTTTTTCTACTAGTATTGAATGGTGTATATACAATTGACATTTAATTAAATTTTTTTTGTTTTTTTTTATATACCAATAATAGTTTAATATAAATAAGTTCATTTGATGATGACAAAAAACAAGACAATGGGACATTCCCATCACAAAATATCAATCCTGATTAGATAGTTTAGTTAATGCATAATTTATTAACTAGCGTAGCTAATGATGATGTATGGACATATGTAAGTTGGATATTTCAATTCAGCACGTCACGTGATGTTTCTAATCTAGATGAAGGTGTTACGGTTGTATTGCTTGATTTGTACTGAGTGGGTAATGCCACATGAACTTGTTAAGTTACATCGAAAAGTTACTCGTCCTCATGATTCTTTTCGTAATGCCGTGTGGTGTTTTCAATCTAGATGAAGGTGTTATGATCATATTGCGTGATTTGTATTGAGCAAGTAACACCATATAGACGTATTAAGTTACATCGAAAAGTTACTCCTCCTAGTGGGCCTCTTCATGAGTTAAGGCTATATAAATCTTATAGGGTGGGCCTCTTCTTGAATTAAGGTTGTATAAATCATATGTTTTAAATAATGTCACCTAAATCATATTTTAGTTCATTCTCATTGTTGATGCACAATGATTGTTTTTTGTAAATAAATATAAAATCTGAAACAGAAAAACAAATAAATATGGTAATAAGAGACGGGAAACAATTGTCGTGTACCTAGTTTTTTTTATGGATAAATTGCTTATATGGAATATTGATAATACATTACTGATATTTGTATTGACAGTTGATTTTTCCACTCCTGTCCACCTACACTCTCTTTCTTGGAAATTATATGTTCTCACTCCTCTTTTGTCTATTTACACTTTCTTGTATATTATAATAAAAAATATTTTAAAAAAAAACAAAAGGAAGATTGACAAAAGGGGAGTGTGAAAATCAGCACCTTTTATATTTATATGGAAATAAATATAAGATAAACATTTGTTGCCAAACATAATTCATACCATTTTAATCCATTTCCTTTTTGGTTTTTGCATACCATTTTAAATCCATTTCCTTTTTGGTTTTCTTACCATTTTAAATCCATTTCAAGTACATTGTACCTATATAATTATTTGAACCAATTAAGTCTTACTGCTATAAATCTAAATTCACTGTTACTATTCTTTCACATACATCTTGATTGTTTATTCGAATTTAAGACTACTTCGTTGTTATCCTAATTCAAAATCGCTCGACTATAATTTCATGAGAAAATTCATGGTTTTGAATCTTTTTATTATGCTTAATATAAAACTTATAAGTGATGAATGATGATGGTGAGGTATGAAGCCTACGCTTTTTTTTTTGGTTCTGATACACTCATTTTAAGATGGCCTAAACTATAAAAACTGTTTGAACGGTCATGTTTTTTTGTGTTGATGACCTTAAAAGTTTATCATTTTATGATCTTATTTAAGCAAGTTTTAACATAAATATTAAATCTAAACTCTAAATTCGAAACGTCTTATCCTAAGCTTGAAGATGATGTCTTTTTTTAACAGGAGTATAAAATCAATCTGGATAAGAATATCCGAAGGCAAGGAAAGCTAAAGTTAGATTGCCTGGGGCTTTTGATATTTTTTAGTTTCAATTTT